TACAATTACTGGGTAATAACTAGGTACTAACCCTGAACTACCCCTAACCCATGTATTTACCTTATATTAGCCAATACTTTCTAGGTAAGTACACTGTAAGTACACGTAAGTATTCATTATGACAATTTTTGGTGCAAATATCAGGCTGATTTGTTCAGATGAAACAAAAAAATTGCTTTTTTTTTGGCAACAAAACCTTAAGATGGGTTTGGTACACACGGAGGTAAAAAAAAGTACCCCATGTGTAAAATGAAATACTCTGCTGTATCTTTAATGCTGTGGGCCTCATTTTTTTGCCAGAGGTCCTGGACATCTTGTTCAGAGGCATCATGGATTCGATCAAATATCAAAAGATAAAAAATTCAAAACCTGACAACCTCTGCTAGAAATCTTATAATGGGCCATGTGTGGATCTTCCAACAGGACAGTGATCCAAAAACAAACATCAAAATCAAAACCAAAATGTGTCACTGAGCACAAAACCAAGCATCTGCAATGGCCATCCCGTCCCCTGACCTGAACCCTATAGAAAATGAGTGGGATGAACTGAAGAGAAGAAGCGCCGACATGAATCTCCAGGATCTGGAGAGATTCTGTGTGAAGGAATGGTCTCTGATCTCAGGTCAGGTGTTCTCCAAACTCATCAGGCATTATAGGAGAAAACTCAGACCTGTTATCTTGGAAAAAGGAGGTTGCAAAAAGTATTTAATAAAAGGGGGCAAAAAATTGTTCCCAACGAGTTTTGGAGAAAAACATTTATTTCATAATGTAAATGGTAAATTTACATTTCATAATGTGACCCCCCCGTGTTTTAAAGTGATAGTTCATCCAAAAATATTCAACCGTATATTGTCCCAAACCTGTATGACTTACTTTCTTCGGTGGAACACAAATGAAGAATGTTTTGAAGAATTGCTTTTGTCCACATTGGACCCCTTTGACTTTCTTTTTATGGACAACAAAAACAAACACAGACATTTTATAGAAAATATTTTCTTTTGTGTTCAACAGAAGAAAGAAATGGGACGTCTGGTCACCCTAGTGTTTTTTTTTTTTGCATGTCTGCATCCAGGCAGATTCATTTCTTTGAGAGCTTTGTGACTTAGAGTTCATTTTTTCTTGCCTTCTTCTTGCTGCAGTCCACACAAGCCTTTAACATCTCACACTTCACGTCTGCACGCCTTATATAAGAAGGAATATCTGAGTTTTATGATCTGCTGAATCGCACTAGGCCCATTAGCATACGTCAGAGCCGCGGCTGCCCGAGTCTTATTAATCTGTGTGGAGAGAGAAATGGAAGAAAGAAAGGATAGGAGGACGGATCAACGCATACGAGATTAGCGCCGACTCCAAAGATATTTTGTTGTGGAGATCATATAGGTGAACACACACATAAACGCACATATGAATACACAACATCTCGGTCATCTCTTCACCTCAGCGTGAGTGTGTATGTCTCTGCAAGCGTATGCATGTGCACATGCGTGTGTGTTGCGCTGAACTTATCATTGCAGAGATGAGATGTGAGGATGTGTGTGTGTGTTAAGCCTCAGGGTGATTATTCTGTCAGGAGTGTTTCTCCGCTGCAGCCCATCCTGCCAGGAAGCAACTCTAAATCCACACTGATCGGTCCAAAGTCAAGATTTCACCATTCAACATATTCCCATCTCTTACCACACAGATCCAACGACAGACGGCGAGATCTCGCTTTACTCGTCTTCCACACACACACACACACACACACACACACACACACACACACACACACACACACACACACACACACACACACACACACACACACACACACACACACACACACACACACACACACACACACACACACACACACACACACACACACTAAGCCTCCTCTACATGCTGCTGTGGGATAAGACTGCATGCCTTGTCATGCCCGATCACTGTGATTCTACAACCCTGCCCAGCACAAAACCGGCACTGCCAACTGTTAAGTGTGTGTATGAGTTTTTGTGCATGTGTGTGTAATTTGTGTCTATGCTAGAAAAATTTGGTCTGGCAGTGTTTAGGCCAATGTACCACTTCTAGTCAATATGTGCTTCCTTTAACCCTTGTGTTGTGTTGCGGGTCAATTTGACCAGTTTCGATTTTCTAGTTGTTGGAAATACTGGTTAACCTTTGTTTTTTTTTCTTGATATTTTGTGACTTTTTCTCATTTATCATGATGAACATGCATGCAAAGTTTCAACATGCTGATGTGTTTTGACATATACAAACAAAATTACTGTTACGTTTGTGATGTTCGCGGGTCAATTTGACCCTCATAGGCAGCCATTCAAAAGCAACTGTACAGACACAAAATAAAACATTTATTTTCTGTATGTCAGGGCACTTCAACTCCAGTTCTAACGTGCAAGTGTATCTAAAAGTGATCTAACCCTAACCAAACAAACTGGAAAAAGCTAAAATCACAGTGTTTAGAATTATTTGCAAATTACAGATGGAAATCTTTGTCAGACACAGATAGTAAAATAAGCTCTCATTTCAATATTCAAGATATCTAAAATACCTAGCTTTTAACCAAAACTTTTATGTAGGATTTTCAAAGGCAGCTTCACAGAGCCAAAAAATAAATAAAAAACATTTATTTGATGTATGTTTTTGTTATGTTTGGTTTCTCACTTCCCTGTGAGTGAATAAATGAAACTAGGAAAATAGGTCTTAGGAAACTAGGGAAAGTTAACTTAGGAAAATTAAAAATTTTCATTATACAGCAAAATCTTATTGTTCAGTTACGATGTTCAAAGCATAAAATGTAAAAAAAAAAAAAAATGTATATGCAAAAAAAGTCAGTATACTGTTTATTTTCCAAATTTGTCAAAAATTGGTTTAAAAACATTTTTATAAATCATATTTTCAGATATAATGTTTTTGTAATATTTGACAAATGTTGATATTAAAAGATTACAGTTTGTATCTAAATCTTTGTTGTTTTTCATAGTGTGATTTTTGAGAAATTGTATTGAATCTAATTAGGGTCAATTTGACCCGGTCCATAAAGGGTGTACACAGAATTGGAACAGTGCACAAGGGATAAGCACATTTTTATGTTAAATATAGTGGGCTGCAATGATGTCTCTCAATGATGCCAATTCCACCCAAAGGATATTCAGAGCACATCTCATTCTCTTTCCTCATCCCAATCAGAGTAATATGTTATATGACTAAACATATAATAAATATGCAACATATTATATTATAATAATTTATAATATCACAGTGATGCGTTAAATGCATCAAATAGACCAAAACTGACAGTAAAGTAATTTAAAATGTTACAAAAGATTTCTATTTCAAATAAACGCTGTGTTCTTTTGAACTTTCTATTCATCAAAGAATCCTGAAAACAAAAGTGCCATTGTGTCCACAAAAATATTAAGCAGCACAACTGTTTTCAACATTGATAATAATAAGAAATGTTCCTTGAGCAGCAAATCAGCATATTAGAGTGATTTCTGAAGGATCATGTGAAAGAAAACATGAAAACAATGTTTTAAATTGTAATAATATTTCATAATCTTACTGTTTTTGCTGCATTTTTATCTAAATGCAGCCTTGGTGAGCATAAGAGACTTATTTAAAAAAAAAAAATCTTGCCAATCCCAAACTTTTGAGCGGTTGTGTGTGTATAAATGATGAATCTTCATTTAAGATTACCTATTATACAGTGTCTTTGTTACATACTTGTTATAGTAACAACAGTAAATTATTCATAATTGCATGCAACTAACCCTAAACCAAGCCCTTATCTTAACCCTGTAGTAAGTACATGTAACTAATTTATTAATCAGTATTTACTGTAAATGTATAACAAGGGCACCTTAAAATAAAGTGTAACCAGCATTTGCCATCATTTTACGTTATGTAAAAATGCAACATCTTGTAAATCATGTTATCAGACTCTTTGTCAGGGTTCATTTCACAGATACACCTGCATGTCTATCTTATCTGTGTTTTCAGAAGAACAGTGAGTGCCTAGATACATCATACATCATACCTATATCTGATCTAAGGAGCTCCACTGATGAACAGAGGGGATGTGTTTATGTAAGTGTGTACGTTTATGAAATTGTGGCATATGTGTGAGTTCCACAGTAAAGCCAACATCCTCTCTGTCGTAATGTTTTTCTAAGAAAGGAATCCCCAATCACCTTCAGCTAACACATATATAAGCTACAAACAGTTAGTTCACCCACAAATTACTCATAAATTCTCAATATCTCATCACCTCATGTTGTTCCAATTGCGTAATAACTTTTTATTTTTCATGAAACACAGCAGTATATATTTTGAAAAAGTCTTACAATGAAAGTCAGTGCGGTCCAGTGTTTTTTTTTTTTTTGGACCCCATTGACTTACAATATATTCTTCAAAATATCGTATTCTCTGCTCTGTTATGTAAACGATGACAGAATTTAAATTCTTTGTCGAACTATGCCTTTAAAATAATAATTAGGTCATGCGTTGCAGGATACTTTTGAAGAGAAAACCATAAAGAGAGCGAGCGGGAGAGAAGCGGAGAGAGAGGGATGACCTATACTCCCTAGACCCAGCTGTACTATGACATCCCACATTTCAGAATTCCTTATTTTAAGAGACTCCGACTTCTTTTCCTGTTTTGGTTTGATGTTTCTGCCCAGTATATCACCTAGTCCACCTCCCAACATAAAACGTTTGGAGTTTTATGGCTTGGAAGAAGACTTAAAAGCAATCACCCGTAAATCTCTATGAGTAATAAAGAGCTAGAATTAAATTTCTGTCTGCTTTGCTTGTTGTCTTTTCTTGTCAGTCGTTTAAACATCTTTCAGGTGGTTTTTCATAACCTGAGAGGAAATGATTATTAGAAACTTGAATAGGGAATGTGCTGCGAACGCCTGCTTAACAGGCCCACGTAATACGGTTTATCAGACACAGGGAAATAAAAAACAAACAATTCGCACAAGGTTCCTCCTCTCGTTTACCTGGAAAAGTGCGCTGGCACGTGGCCCGACCGCATTCCTACAGGGTCCGATCGTGAATCTCCCTGAGGAATCTGAACGGTTGAACCCTCTGAGACGACCTGCAGCCAACTCCTTGTAGACCCTCGTAAAGACAGGCCTGGGTGGTCAGGTCTCTCTCTCATCTCTCCACCGCCCTCTCACCTCTATCCATCACCTACAGGGGAGTGCAACATTAGACCTAAATCCATCAGCCTTTTTGGAGCCAGTATTGGGCCAGTCTGGACCAGCCAAGGCCCTTCAGGGGCCAAAATCTTACCTACAAGAAACCACCACAAGACATATGAATGAACCAATACAGGAGACATCATTAAACCAAAGAATGAGGGTTCAGCTGGTTAGCATGGGTCAGTTAGCCCCTGCTGTACTGTAACCGTTCTGGAGTCAAAAAAGCATGCTTGATGACAGCCATTGAAAAGTAGCTATTTATTCTGAAAAAATATATCGAGTGACCTAACAGGTCACAATAAAAGGTATCTTTTTCATGTTTAGAGGTTTTGTCCTAACCAACCTATAGTGTCAGCCTCAGACGTCACGCCCACGGACCGCTGGCTGAAGGTTTGATGCATAAGGCACACTTAACTGGAAACGCTTCAGGATTTTCAAAGTTATCATCTGATTGGTTGAATTCTACATGATGCTTGGGAGACATCTGTGTTGCGATCTTTAACGGTCCGCCTGGAAACAAAGATGCCGTGATGCCAAACCCTCTTATGGAAGAAGAACTCTGTGGTGTTTACAACTGTGACAACGAGGGCTTATCCAACTAAACGCTGAATTTTCAAAAGTATGTAAAGTTTGATATAAAATACGTCCAAGAGTTTTACACACCGGTCTGTTATTGAAGGGACATCAAGGTTACATTTTCACGCCCCTAAACATGACGGCGCAGAACAAAACAAACTGTGATTGGTTGCTTTACATGTTAGTCCAGCTCGTTCTCATCCTTTGGCGTCATACATGTGACGCTTTGGACATTTCGTTGAAATCTTACGCTCATGGCATCCTTTAGCATCAATATGAGACGCAGAACCCAAGGCGTCATAACCGTAACCCGACCCCAGACCTAAACCTACCCATAACAGTGCGTGTTATATTGACGCTAAAGGATGCCATGTGCGTAAGATTTCGACGAAATGTCATATGGCGTCACCAAAGGATGAGAATGCGTTGGTTAGTCAGACGGCCTCTGGGCGGTCCTTGGCCAATGAAAGCTGCCAATGAATTTTTTTTTACTGCTATTAGCCAATCACAGATGTCAAGATTTCATTCAGCTCAGGTGATTGGCTCTAAAGCCAATCATGAGTGCCCATGAGCAAACATGGCACATTTCAAATCAATAACTACCCTTGAGATGAACAGGAATATGAACAAATTTCTCCAGGTATCATAAACCTCCTTTGTACAGCTATTTTCTTTTTAAATACCCATTACATGTCTATTAATGTCAAATACTATACGTCACCAATCTTTGATCTTTAATATAGCCTAATGACTAAAACCATCAAAATATGTCCATTATGTAACCTTTTACAAAAAGATACAAAACACAGAATTACAAAATCAAGGAGTAAATATATAAATAAATAATAGTGGCAACATATAAAAACAGGAATTTAAGACTAATGGCCCAAATATAAATCTCATAATATCCTTTAGCAAAGGATTCAATTTCAACCAGTGGGTCCTACATTCCTCTCAGAATAGTTAAGATAATCCCTCTCTCTCCCTCTCTCCCTCTCTCCCTCTCTCTCTCTCTCTCTCTCTCTCTCTCTCTCTCTCTCTCTCTCTCTCTCTCTCTCTCTCTCTCTCTCTCTCTCTCTCTCTCTCTCTCTCTCTCTCTCTCTCTCTCTCTCTCTCTCTCTCTCTCTCTCTCTCTCTCTCTCTCTCTCTCTCTCTCTCTCTCTCTCTCTCTCTCTCTCTCTCTCTTCTGAGAAAATGAGCTCCATCTGACAGACGGATTCATGAACTACAACTGTCATCAACCCTATAAAGAAAATGGACCCCTGATTTCCAGAGAAAGCAGATCTGCTGGACACCCTACAGAGAATCTGCCAGTATTCATGGAAAACAGTCCAGCTCTTCTAACCGAAAAACCACTCAGGCTCTTTGTCAGCATGCGATGTTGAACACACAGTTGATGAAATGTGCTTCCTTTTCGGCCACACTACCTCTTTTCTGCCTCACTACCTCTTTCTGAACACTCAGAGGTGACAGCGAGGCTTCTGTCTAACATGCTGACTCTGCCGAATCCATCCAGGCGAGAGCAGAAGGGGAGATCTGGGGCGACTGGAACAAACCTAATAACTTTACAACACAAAAAACCTAGATTATTCAACACATGGTCAGTTCAGTTCTCTATCATCCTGAGAAAAAGACATCCCTTCATTTGACTCATTTACTTTAAAGGTGATCTTTTTGGATGTCCTGTACTTTCCTTTTCGGGACAAATGCAAGACAAGTTAAGGATATGACTTTTGAATATTTTTGAATAAATAAATATTATTTAATTTAAGTAACTAGCTGAACAAACACAAAAAATGTCAAGATTTTCAGGTCTTACAGAAATTGAATAATTAAACAATGTATAAATTATAAATTGAATATTATTGATAATAACCCATGGGTAAAATGCACTCTTAGTGCATAGAAAACTATTATAATAAAATATAAAATATAAAAACCTCTTAAATGGTGTGCATACGACTCAATAAATTAGATATTTAAGGACTGGACGGATAAAGGATTAACAGTTTTATGTAATATAATAAAAGGTGGCACAATAACTAGTTTTGAAATACTCATTAGAAACTCAAGATTTCTACCGATATTTACAGATGCAACATTTTGTTAATATGAAGATGAAGAATGTGGCTGGGAAAGGGAAAGCATACAACTCAGATGTGTTATTATTTCATGCATATATAAATGTCTGTTAAATCTTAAAACACACTCGAATTCCTATATTAAAACAAAATGGGAGAAGGAAGGAGGAATAAGTATATCTGAGGAAGAATGGACAATAATATGGAGGGATCAATGGAAATGCTCCAGGTCACAGAAATGGAGGGAGTTTGTTTGGAAAAATTTGATAAGATATTTTATTACACCCTTTCAGAAATCATATCATGGTAGTAATGCTTCTATATGCTGGAGAAACTGTGGAAACCAAAATGCAAACCATTACCATGTTTTCTGGGATTGCTCTTTTATTAAGGATTATTGGAGAGGAATACATAATGCTTTACAATATATTTTTAAATTTGATAGTAAAACCTTATATTTTGGATATATACCTCAAGAAAGGTTAAATATTTAATGCATATATTGCTGGTGGCTGTAAAGAAGAGCTTTACCAAAAAATGGTTGTCACACGAGAGCCCTATAAACGCATGGATGGAAATTACAATGGACATTTACAAATGGGAGAAGCATTTGTAAATCATAAACTGGAACAATTTGCTTTGTGCTGGGATAAATGGACCAAATATGCAACATCTCAAAGACCTGATTTTATTTTCTAGTTAATATCCAGAATGCCCAGAAAAACTACTCCCTACATGTACATAGTTATTTTCTCGTTTTTGTTGTTTTGTTCAAAAAAAAAGAAAAAAAGTTTATATATCTTATGAATAGATGTACGGCAAACACGACTGTATGGTGTATGTATGGGCATATATTTCTATGTAGTGTGTGTATGTTTTTTGATACTCGATACATCTATATATATCGATATATGTCTATATGAGAAAAAGTAAATAAATTGAATATAAATTAATCCTTAATAAAGCTACAAAAATAAATGAGTCAAAAGCAGTGAGTGATTTTCTCTTTGTCTTTTGTTCTTTGATTAACAATAATGACAGACAGCAGCAGGTTTATTAGGCTACTGTCACTTTAAGACCTGACGCATCCTAACTTTTTAAGTTCATTTAAGGCTCTTTTAACTAAGGGCATTTAACTCATTTTAGACCGTGCTTACAAGGATACTTGTAATTTTGGCAAAATAATAAATAATAAATATTTTTAACATGTAAAACTGAAAAAAATGAAACGCTAAATAAACAAATTAATTTTGACACCCCTAATATTGTTATATTTGATTTTAAATGATTCTATGTTTTAATATTTTTTATCTTAAACGGTTAGTAAAGATATTTATGCAGAAATGTGACAGCTCCCCGAAACTGAAAATGCGATCAAAATCACACTGCGAGCATTTCCTGTTTTTGTTGCCCTCTCTTGCCCTCTCACCCGATCCCGAACCGAGTTTCAACCTTCTCCACATTACTCCACCCAGATCCCCGGCCCAGCCCAAACAGACGCCCATGAACCCCCCCAATACACAGACACACAAACACACCGATACTCACAGAACCACAAAGAAACAAACAGAGCTGGGGCAGACGGCTCGTGACCCTCAGACATGAACACACAGACTCAGTGTTCTCCACGCGCGGGTGAGTGTGTGTGTGTGTGTACAGTACTCCCCAATTTCACATATTTTCCCGTTCTCACAGGAAGGCACTGTGGGAACCACGCTGTCACTTCCTGTGTCCGTGGGCCTCAACCAATCACCATCAGATAAGGAGCAGCTCCTGGCCAATCACAGACACCAATGACAGGACGCCAATAGCGATAAGTGTTACGCAGCCCGGAGAGAAATGTCTTGAGCTTCCTTGTTTCCCACCAAAAATAGTTGTTTGGAGACAAGGTAGTTTTTGTTTCGGCATAATTAGAGTCTCTTTCATCTTGTCGTCTGTTCCTCTCGACCTGCGACCCCCAGGGTCGCAACGCAGGATATCCCACTCTTCGGTGCCCCATAATGTGGCATTTAGAGAGGATGAAGAGGGGCATTCAGGCCTGAGCAGACAGGAGTGAGAGGAGGAGAGAGAGCCCTATCGCTCCATCATTCCCTCGACAGGCTCGACACCCCCGGTTCAGGCCGCAGAGTCAGATCAAAGCCCTCAGAGCTCAAAGCGGCCCAGTGACACGCTGCTCTCTCATGCAGTGGGACGCATGAACTGAGCTCAGGCTGTCCCGCTCATGCCGAGGGCACGCTGGATTGAGCGGCGTATGACCACAAACACACACTCACTCACTCACTCACTACACGTTTTGGGGATGTCACATAAATGAATCATTAAAGGGTC